GGGGGGGGGGGGGGCAGGGCGACGTGTTGAGGGTCAGGGCAGCAGGGTTCGTCAGGGTTGGGCCAGGGCGAGACAGACAGCGCTCAGTTGACTATAGGGGTTCAGGGAGCCAGAAGGACAGCTTGGTGGTGGGCAGGCTCCTATGAGGCGCGTGCCTGCGAGTCCGTTTTGCAGGATGCCCCGCGGATGCTGATGACAACAGCACGGTGCAAAGCTGCAGGCAACCCCGTCCCCGGCCTGCAGCCAGGCCACCCACCATGTCTGCGTGCTCCCGCAGGTCTGTGAGGCTCTGCTCCTCGTGCTCCGGCCCCAGCTGGAAGTCGGCCAGCCGCGTGGTGTTGTTCTGGCGCTTGGTCCAGGTCCAGTAGCGCTGCTTCTCCACCGGCACCCCCAGCCGCTCCGCCACCAGCTTCTTGAGGTCACCAAACTTGGTGTGCTTGCGCACCCTCAGGGTGGAGGCCTCAGGCAGCTTGTCGTAGTCCACCAGGTCAAAATACACGCCACGCTTGCCGACCTTTTGGTTGAAGGGGGGGGGGGGGGCGGGCGCGAATGATACGCAGGGAGATGGGGTAGGAGGGGGCCAGCCAAGCATGCGCAGAGCCTCACTGATGACCTTCAAACCATGCCCAAAATGGGCCATTTCACAATAGGCACCCACCGCATCCACGCTGGGTACAGCCACACTCGCATCCACACGCGTGCACGATCACAAACGCCTGCGCAGACACACGCGCGGGCACACACACACACACACACACATACACACACACACGCACGCACACGCGCGGGCACACACACACACATACACACACACACACACGCACGCACACACACAAAAGAACAAACTTGCTTTGAATTACATGCATGTATGCATGCGTCATGCCGCAACACACGCATGCATGCAACAAGCCATTTGGTTCGTCTACTGAGCGCGAACACATGCCCTCGCGACCCTCCCACCCACCTGCTCCGCCATGTCTGCGTCCCGCGCCAGCCGCACGCTGCAGTAGAGGTGGGCCTCCGCCTTGGCCTTCTGGCGCGCCTCCTTCTCACGCTGCTCAACCTGGGGAGGAGACGGCGCGGGGCACAGAGCATCGTGGTGGTGATTGGCAGCCATCACCAAGGCTGGCCTCAGACCGACACAAACAGCCCTTGGTGCGAGGGTAAAAACCATAGGACCTCAAGCAAACATACCTCACAGCCTCTGCCTCCCAACACCGACACCGCAGGACACATTCACATGGCCCAAGCTGCACCCTGCAGGAGCCCCAGCAGCTCACCTCCAAGCGCTCCCTGAGGTACATGGGGATGTCGTCCTTCGTCACGCGGCACATGACGTCGTCCCACTGACTGACCCTCACGTACACCAGCATGTAGGCATTGGACAGCTTGCTCAGCTTGAAGCCACCGCCACCTCCTATGGCGTTGCCGCCCCCGGCTTGGTTGAAAGGGCCGTGCAGGCCGCCGCCCCCCAGGGGCGGTGCGTCGTCGTCACCTCCGTACTGCTCCTCAATGGCGGCGCGCGCATCCTCCTTGGTGACGCGCTCGTCGTCGAAGCGGTACCAGGTGTGGCCGTCAGGGCGGATGAACGCGTAGTAGTGGCCACCTGGGGTGTGAGGGCCCGGTGCAGGGTGGGGGGGAGAGGGGTGCAATGCACTTCAGGGGACGTCCTGGAGGTGAGCGCGGGATTGCTGGACAGCAAGCGGCCAAGGGGGGCGTGTGGTGAGGCAGCCTGCTAGGAGTCCTGGCAGGCGCCGCAGGCCACTGCTCTTGCTCCCTCGCCCCAACGCCAGCAGCACCTGGCGGCTGTGCCTCCCCGCGACCCCCTTGGAGCCCACTCACCGTGCACGCCGCCGCTGTGCACCAGGACGCTGTGCAGGCGGTACAGGTTGCGGACGCTGCGGTCTGCGTTGCGC